GGGGGGAGCGGGCAAGATCGTGTGATCAACCGAACACCTGCGACCAATAGCAAGGAAGGGCCGGGCGAGGACCCGAGGGCTCGAGCCTCACGGCCGGGGCATGGTTGTGGCGTTTGCCGAGGCAGATGGGAAGGTCACGGCAGGCCCCTCGGCCGCGCGGGGAAGAGCTGGAATCGGCGACCTGCACGGCCTCCGCTCGTTAGCCTCGCGCACAGGGCTGCCCCCGGCCCTCCGCGGAGTCGGGCATGGAAAGATCGGGGTTAGCTGGACCCACAGCGCAGCCAAGCGCGCACGCAGCGTTTCTCTTCTTCTAGATTTACTTCCTAAAGAAGTTCTATTGCCACTGCTTTTGTTTTCCTTTGGCGACTTCATATTTCATTTCCCTGGATTGTTTCTCTGCAGTCCTATTGCTGACAGAAGAATCTTCCAAAAGACATTCTTTGTGTCACCTGCTGCCCTAAAACATAAGGGACTTCCTGCTGTCCATTGAATCGAGACTTTTCTGTCGGACTTTTAAGATCTTTACGTTCTGGTTCCAATCTACCCACCCACCTGTTTCCCAGCCTTATTTCCCTAATCCGACCTTTCAGGATGAATCGTTTTGGCTGTTCCATCAGAATCAAAGGCCTGTCCTCCTTCTTTGTCAGGCTCTAGCCTCGCTCTCCTGGTGTCTAGCACTACCCTCCCGGTGCTGTGGTTTTGGGTGTAGTAAGATGGGCGTTGTAAACGGTCCTGCCAATCAGGGTTCTTAGGGGAGGCAATGGATGTTAAAAGCTTTCGGAAAAAAGGTGTGGAGACCTCTGCAGACCCTGTGAGCGGGGATGCAGTCGCTCTCTGTCCCTGGCTCACTGTCTCGACCCTTCTCGCTCCAGGGAAGTACGATAATTCCGTCGATGTCTACGCCTTTGGCATTCTCTTCTGGTATATCTGCTCGGGTTCTGTCAAGCTCCCTGAAGCATTTGAGAGGTGTGCCAGCAAAGACCATCTCTGGAACAATGTGCGGAGAGGTAAGAGCCACAAGTCCTACCTGGTCCTGCCCCCCCCCCCCCCCCCCCACCACCACCACCACTGAGAGCAGCAGGACCACATACCGTCACGGAATCCAGGAAAGACACTGAAGTCAGGCCTTTGCTTTCAGGCAGTACTGTACTGAATTGTTTTTCTTTCTTTCTTTCTTTCCTTTCTCTTTCCCTTTCCCTTTCTCTTTCAATATTTTATTTATTTGACAGAGAGAGAGCACAAGTAGGCAGAGCGGCAGACAAAGGTAGAGGGAGAAGCAGGCTCTCTACTGAGCCGGGAGCCCGATGTGGGGCTCGATCCCAGGACCCCGGGATCATGACCTGAGCTGAAGGCAGACGCTTAACCAACCGAGCCACCCAGGCACCCCTGTACTGAACTGTTTCAAGAAGGCTTTTTTCTTGAACACTTCCAATTCTTCAACTTCCTATGCCAGTGCATTCCAATTTGTTGTCACAGTTACTACTAGGTTCTGACCTCAGTGTTTACGGTTGAAGCCAGAACTCCTGAGCCCCGCCTGGGTGATTGGTCTGTGAGCTGGTCGGGCCTCATCGTGGCACGGGCCCTCTCCCTGACTCTGGCTTTGTTTCCATGTGCCTTTCTCCAGGGGCCCGGCCAGAGCGTCTTCCTGTGTTTGACGAGGAGTGCTGGCAGTTGATGGAGGCCTGCTGGGATGGAGACCCCTCTCAGAGACCTCTCTTGGGCATCGTCCAGCCCATGCTCCAGGGCATCATGGACCGGCTATGCAAGTCAAATTCTGAGCGGCCAAACAGAGGACTCGATGATTCTACTTGAAAGCAAAGACCTTTCTCCTTTACTCTCTATTTCTTTCCTTCCCCTCACCTTTTGGCCATGGGAAGAATTTGACATTTATTCAGAGAGCTCCCGAGGGAACTGATGCTTGCTGGGCAGCTTGAGACCTTCCCAGGCAGCGATGCCTCCCGGATAGTGAAGAGTTGGCTGGCTGTGGGGCATGTTAAGCACCTCACTGATGCCCCAAGCCATCCTGTTAGCAAAAGATTGTCTAGGACACGTAAACGCCGAAGAATTGCAATGTTCCAGCCTCAGTACTGAAAAGGAGGCAAATGTACCAATTGTCTGTTCACTGTATGTTGCTAAGACAGGCGGGGCACTGCAGTGGCGATAGTATTAAAAACTATAATTTTCATAATTTGGGCTCTAGCTAGGAATAGTTTGGTTCTATCCCGTCGTCGGGACCCTTAGGAAATTTGAACTAAGTTCCGGGATTGTGAGAACATAGGAGCAAAACAGCAACTTGCTGCTCCCTGCACCCGGATCTCAGGTTGCAGAGGTCAGAGGCCCCAGTGAGGGAGCTAGAAACAGAGCTGTCTGTTCCTTTTAGTGCCAGCATGTTTACATTTATAGGACTGACTACTGGGGGTGGGTGTCACGGTTACATCACCAAGAAGCCACAGAAAGAAAAAGAAATGTGTACACATATGTATATGTATACAGATGTGATTGGATTTTGAGTTACTGCTAACCCCAGGATAGAATCTCTTCTTCTTCCCTTTGGTCTTGATTCCCCCCCCCCCCTTTTTGGTCTCAAGATGGGGAAATTCCAGTTAACATGGTATCTGGGGATGAGCATCTGAGTAAAACTGACCGGTACGGAGTAACTGGTGAGACCGGAGATGTGGGCAGTGATCTGGAGGCCGTGGGCTTCCCTGCAAACCTACTAGAAGGATACCAGGTTGTTTCTAAAACTTAGAAGAATCAAAAATTCCCATTTTTGTGTTTGAATCTAACACACGGATGTTTTTAAATTCCATCAGTGAGCTTTTTAACCGAGATTTCTTTTGCAACTTGTCCCTTCATTTTACTTTATTTTGAATATAACGTAAGAAGGAAAGCACCAGATGAAAGAGAATGCTTTTTGTAGCTCTGTGTGTGCCTCTCACATCTCTGTGTGTGTAGTCTGGGACGGTTCCCCTCCCCTTCAGCTGGGAGGCGTGCTGGTGGGCTTTTGGAGCGTGTGTCAGGAAGTGTGCCTAAGTGGAGAAATTCTGGAGGGGAACAATTTACATGTTGATGCATCTCAGATCTTGACTTAAAGCCCCGCTCAACCAAGATGGTCCATTTGATTTAGAACACCAGGTGGGTGAAGGAATAGACAGTGGAGGTCAGTAGCCTCTGTCCATCTGCCTAATTTCCAAGCACTCTGGTCTCTCCCCTGTGCCTGGCCCCCAAGTCCGTGAAGCAGGTCCCTGAGTAGGTGTGTAAGGAAATGGGCAGACTTGCTGCTAGAATTTTGTAGGGTTGTTTCTGAGAGAATGACCTCTTCAACATTAATAGAGTGTAAATGTCATCTACAAGAAAATTTTCATATAACTCTTAAAGTTCAGTTTTCACTCTTTGACTCTGCTGGGCTCTGATGATGATACACTTGAGCGTAGTAAGCCTCCAAGCACTTGGAGCCTTTTAGAAACTCCGTATAGTGCTAAGAACCTTTTTACTTGCAAACAGTAAAGTGACCGACCCAGTGTCTTTGGGTTCTGTGTGAGCTCCAGCCTTGTTCTGGTGGAATGTTCAGTAGATCTTTTAGAATTGTTAACAGCCATTTATAGCTTTACTTCTTCAAGTCCACTCTATTCTTGTCTGCATTAACTTGTTTGTCCTCCTGGGGACTAGGTTGGGGCTTCCAGGAAGCCAGATTTTCAAGTTTAAAAAGGAGAGGTGAATAGTGTCTACCTGCCGAAAAATCAGTCTGTTCTGTATGAAATTTCAGGGAAGGTCTTCTATAGTTCCCTTTCCCAGAGAGTCTTCCTTTACTCCAGCTCAAATCAGGAGTCTGTGCTTATGCTGTGGAAGCCGCATTCCTAACATTCTTCCGACATCTTAGTCCCTCCCCCCATTCAGGCAGGGGCTGGGGGGGGTCCTCTACCCAGTGGCCCTTTTCAGTTTGTCCCCTTCCCGCAGCTTAATCTGCTCCCAGGCACCAGTTTCCCAGCAGATTCCCACATTTTTTGCCTGAGTGAGAAGGGAGGACGGGAGAGACCAATGCTAAGTGGGACAGTAGTTGTGTTAACAATGCATTACAAAAAAAGCATTTTGGGAAAAGGTGCAAGATATTCCTGAAGATCTCCCGGCCAGCCAAAGTCCACGTGGAGATATTCGGAGGTGTTGTTTGAACACTCAGCGGGCTGAGTGCGGGAATACATATATACAACATATGTATACTTTGCTTCTGTTTTATAACATTGTCAGCTAATTTGGGATTCTTTGTTCCTTGGCATCCATTATTATTAAAGTGATGGAATGCCATGAAATGTACTGTACTGTATATTACTTGGGAAGACACTAGGTATTCAAAGAAGTCTGGGAGCACTTGGGCTGTAGCGGGCTCAACAAGACCAAAGTCCTAAAGATTTTACCTCCTAGCTTTGGTTGTATGTGCTCCCAAGTGGTGAGGTGTGATTGTGGCTGGGGGAAGAGGAAAGATGGGTCGGGTTACCCTTACTGTGTTCCATCCTTCTAATCAACTTCAGTGGGGCAACTTACCCCAGCCTGAAAATGATCACCTGGCCATTTTTAACACGCTTGAAGTCCAGTCACTTGCGTTACTTCAGAACTGAGTGAGGGACCTTCTTGCAGAGCAATCAAGAAATGGCGGAGCCTGGGGCCCTGGAGCGGCTGACCCTGTGCCTAGGGAGCTGGCAGGGAGGTCAGTCTGGCATGAGTTGGGGAACGCTTGTCTGGCTGAGGTTTCCACGGGCGTGCCCTAGTTCCTTGACCCTCTTTATAAAGAGTGGCTCGTTGATGGAGCAAGCCTTCCACTTCTCTAGGAAGGAGGGCTGTGCGGGTTCTTCCCAGACCAAAGAGAATCACTTGTGACTCCATCAGTTTCAAGGGGACAGAGCCTATGTAGCAGCTTCTCCTAATTTTTAACACTACAATTCAAGGAAACAGTGAAGGAAAGGACATATTACTGCCACAGATGGAAACGGGGGGAACGGTAGAACTCCCCCCAAGTACGTGCCAGCTCTCCGGTACATTTTGGTGCATCCTTGCTGAGCTGCCAAAGATGGCTTGGAAGTTGTTTCCCGACGAGAGAGGGGGTTTGGGGCGGCAGGGCTCCAAAGTAGTAACTGCACTGAATGACACTTTATTTTTTTGGCTTATTATTTAGCACTGAGAAGCCAAGAGGGATCGGTGATTATAGTAGCACTTAGGGGGCAGAGGTCCCCTGTGGCCTCGCTTTGGAGAGAAGGCAGGCTTGCTGTTCATCTGGCTAATCAGGGAGTCTCCGAAGCCCATACTTCGCAGCAGGATAAAGGGCCCTTGAAGAGTCCTTCGCCAAAAGAGTAGTTGCTTTCTTTGAGTTTTCAAAGTTTGACTTCTGGATTTGCTGGATCATATAACCCACTTTTTCTTTAAAAGAAAAAAGTGGTTTTATCCTTCTAAATATGGGGGGAAGCGGTTAGGGCTAGCGCTGTATTTAAGTGGGTGAGGAGGGAGCAACCTTCAGAAACTTGCATCGCAAACTCCTTTGGAGGTTGCGAGGAACACTGCTGTTCTTAAAGGGGTTTTATTTTTAACTTCATCTGCTTTGTTAACATCCAGTCCAGTCGAGATGCACGTGGAGACCATGGGAATACCTGGCCATCCGACTCAGAGGGTTGAGAAGGAAACCGGTCTGGACAGCGTGTTGTCTTTTATCCTTATGTAATATTTTTGTTTGTTTTAAAGGACTAATGTCTATTACAGTGTTAATAAAAGTGTAACATACTAAGTGTGTAGAATAAAAGTGCAATAACAAGAGGAAGTTACCTTGGCACAAACCTCAGTCCTTCACTCTCCCTGTGCCGTCTCTTTCCATAATATGGCAAACAAGACTGTGTTGTGTTTTTAAGAGTCATACCTATGGGTTAAATCTTTAGTGTCGTTTTGGATGGTTGGGTTTGGTTTTATAGAGTGTTCTGTATCCTTGTGGGGTTGCACAGATACCACACGTGCTGTAGAATAAAGATCACATTAACGTTTGAAGTTCACCTCCCTTTGGCTTTGTTTCCCTTCCCTCCTGGGGACAGAAGGATGCTGGAGCACCTCACTCCCCCGGACACTGCTCCGGGTCTCTGGGTGCTTGACGTTATCACTACCAGAGGCTGGGGCAGGAGGATGGGAGGAGCAAGTAGGGTGATAGCAGTTTATTTTTCAGAACCTTTCCTGGATTCACACCCTTTTCCCCAGCTTCTCTTCAGCACGGACTTGCTGCATTGGGAGCTCGTGCATGAGCCGGACTACTCTCTATTCCGCCGTGAGAGAATCTGAGGGTGGAAGCTACATACTGGCCCATCTGCATTTTCTATCTGGGCTCACCCCACTGTTGGGATCCGCTTGCTCGGCATTGCGTGGCCGGCACCAGCATCGGCCCCTCGCAGCCGAGGGCCACCCCTGGCCGTCACCGCCACCGTGGAAGGTCAGCAGGCAGCTTGCCGGGCTCTTGCACAGGGTGTGTGCCGGGTGGTTTTTTTTTTTGTTACGGGATCCTGCTAGTGTGGCGGCCTCACTTTTTGCTGCAACTGGTGCTCCGACTGCAGCACCCGTTCAGCCAGGAGGGGGCAGCACACCCCAAACAGTTGCTGTGTTTGTGCCCGAGTCTTCCAAGAAAAGCCGCAGTGGAACCCAAACCCAACCTGCCACCATAGACGTTTCATGCACATAAGCCTCTCCCCCTGGAGAAACTTTCCACCGGCTCCAGCCACCCTTCACAGCGAAATGCATCCGTCCTGGATGCATGTTCTCTCTTGTCATGTAAAGTTCAGGGGGACAGTTCGCTTCACTTCCTCTCTTACCAGGACGACTTTGGAGAACGTAGCTGGTGGTAACACCTTTTTAGCCTGGGCATGCTTTCCCAAGAACACCTCCCTCAGCAGGCGACTGTGCAGGGTAATCGGGGTGGCCTTCCCGGTCCTGTGTTTGGGTGGGGCTCAGAGGGGAGAGGCCACCAAGTGTCTGAACATTATTAAATTCAGCTTCAAAACGTCTGCCTTTAGCAGGATCCCAAGGAGGCCCCAAAGTACTCACTGACTAGCCTCCTTTCAAGTGCAGTTATCATGGGGGGCTGTGCGCTGGTTGAGCCTCGTGGGGCCCTCCTCGGGATGACCTGCTCCTCAGTCTATTCTAACGGAAGCATTTCAAGTCAGTGGAAAAACAGACTATTTTATAAAACTGGCTATCCACCTGAGGAAAAGATCATGCAACAGAAAAGGTAAAGATCTAAATGTTAAAAAAAGTAATAATAAAAATGAAGGAGTTTTTCTATCTGCTAGGCACTATTCTAAATGCTTTCCATATATTAACTCATTAATCCCCACCACCACAACCCCATGTTACCGATGAGAAAATGAAGGCACAGAGAGATAAGCCAGAGCTCGGATCTGAACTTAAGAACTGCAGCTAGCTCCAGAATTTCCGCTTCTACAACTAACTGGTACACCATGCTGCCTCTGGGGGAAATGCACGTCAGTATGCTCATGGATAGTTTGGGGACAGGGAGAACTTTCTTGAGTGTGGTCAGGAACCCAAAAGCCATAAAGAAAAAAATTATAGAAATTACAAAGAATGTAGGGGTGCCTGGGTGGTGCAGTCAGTTGAGTGTCTGACTTGGTTTCAGCTCGGGTCGTGATCTCAGGGTTGTGAGATCGAGCCCCGTTTTGGGCTCTGCACTCAGCAGGGGGTTTGCTTAAGACTTTCTCTTCCTCTGCCTCTGCCCCTCCCCCCTGCTCTCCCTCTCTCTCTCTAAAATAAAGAAATTTTAAAAAATTATAAAGAATGTATATGCAGCCAAAGACACCAAAACCAAGATTTAAGACAAATCACTAATTTGGAGAGAATAATTGCAATATATAACTGATAAAGTGTTCACATTTCTTTTTTTTTTTAAAGATTTTATTTATTTGACAGAGAGACATCAAGAGCAGGAACACAAGCAGGGGGAGCGGGAGAAGCAGAAGCAAGACTCCCTGCTGAGTAGGGGGGCCAATGCAGGGCTCGATCCCAGGGCCCCGGGATCATGACCGGAGCGGAAGGCAGATGCTTAACGACTGAGCCACCCAGGTGCCCCAAATGTTCACATTTCTAATACATGAAGAAATCAAACAATAAAAAAATCTACAAGCAAATTGGCTAATACATTTTTGAAAAAGATGTGCATCCTCATCAATAGGGAAATACATATGAGAAACAAAGATTTCCATCTATTGAATTACTAAAATATACTGAACTATTCGTAACTGGGGGGGGTGAGCACTTCCCTACATTGTTGGGAAGTGGGTGTAACTGCAGAAGGGCAATTTAGCAGTATCTTTTATGAAAATTTTAAATGCATATATCCTTTTCTCCAGAAATGATTTCTATGCAGTCCTTACCTACAGAAGTATTTTCACAGGTATGCAAAATTATGTAATTATAAGGATATTTACTGCATCATTATTTGTAATACTAGAAAGTTGGAGGCAATGTTCATGTCTGGCAACAAATGAGGATTAAATTGTGCTCACCCAGTGGAATACTATGCAGCCATTAAAAGGAATGACACAGATCTCTATGTACTGACAAGGATGTTTATACTAGGTCACTGAGGGAAAGAATAAATAAGAATATATTTCATATGATCCCTTTTTGGGGTAATAATCCCTCCCATCTCCCATAACCCCAAATTCTCTAGAGATCTAGTCTCTCTGTATATGGCTAGAAAAAGGTTTGTAAAGATACATAACAAACTAATAACAGTGGTTTTCCTGGGGAGAGAACTCCAATGTATTGCATTTCTGTTATTCTTTTGTTCATCTGCTGTGAACACCTATTTTACTTGCAATTTAAGAAAATAAGTGGAATGGCTAATTCAAGAGAAAGGAAATAAGTATTGGAAAGATATTACAGGCCCTGTTCCTACCAGTGGGTAGGAACCTCGGTAGATCTGCAGGCAGCTGCCAAGGGCTTCACTGTGGCTGTGAACAGTCCCCTTCACTCCCTCATGAGGCGACAGTCAGGGAGAATTTTCTCACTTGGTCCAGCACAGGTCCCAGGCCCATCTCGTAGCTGTGTTGGCTCGCAGCTGGAAGGCTCTGTCCCCTCCAGATTCCACGGCGGGAGGCAGGCATCTAGACCTGTCTGCCCGTCAAAACTGCATTCAGTGGAGGAGATGTAATTCCTGAAAGGAAATCAAAGAACCGTTAGGAAAGGGACCTACGTTCAGGACAGGCTCAGATGACGTATGTCCACTATAGTTCACCTCTTGAGCTGCTCAGCATCCGCCCCCTCCCTTCTGGCACTACTGGGAGGCAAGGTGGTGAAAGTAGATGTACAGATTGAAGCCCAAGCATGGAGGGGTCATGGCTGGGGCTCTGGAAAGGACATTAAAGAGACAACCCCCTTGGCTTCTCTTTCCTTTCTTCTCCCTTCCTTGTTGTCTCAGCAGGGCGTCCCAAGGAGATCAATCCTAAAGATGCTCAAGCATCTAAGAAGATGCTAAATGACAGCCTTTCTATATGTAGAATCCAGGAGTTGAAAAGGTAGAAGGATGGGCCAATGCCAGACTCAATGTGAAGCCACAGGCTCTGAGATCCAAGCTGGGAATGTGCCGAAATGATGCTTAGTCTGAGACCTCTTAGTGAGCAGGATTTGCTTACAATTTCTAAAAACTATTACTTTCTATTTGATGCCTGCTAAAAATATATGCATAACATCCTTGCAAACTATGAACCATGATAATTTTAAAACCATGTGAACTTACCACAGTGTTGAAGCCCCTGTGTGTTCTTCCAGATGCCAGCCCTGTGTCTCTCTCCTGCTCCATGGTTACCGTTGTGCTCGTCATTCTCTTGCTCAAAAAACAAAAAGCTTTTCCAAATATACATGCATTTTAAACAATATATAATTTTGGTTTGCATGTTCTTGAGCTTTAAAAATGGTATTACCGGGGCACCTGGGTGGCTCAGTCAGTTAAGCTTCTGCCTTCGGCTCAGGTCATGGTGGGATCGATCCTGCATCGGGCTCCTTTCTCAGTGGGGAGCCTGCTTCTCCCTCTCCCTCTGCTGCCACCCCCCTCCGCCGCCGCTCATGCTCTCTCTCAAATAAAATCTTTTTTAAAAATGGTGTTACTTGTATTTCATCTTCTATAACTTTTTTCTCTTCACTCATTATGTCTGACTTTTATCCAAGCTAATTGGCTGTCACTGCAGTTTGTTCTCACCATGAGAGATCATTCTAATGTGTGAATGTACTGCGATGTGGCCCCTTACTCAGAGAACCCACTTTCGGTTTGCTTGTTTCTCTAACTGCACCTCTGTTTCCTAACCCACTAATTCCTTCTGTCTTATTTATCGTCTTGGTTCTCCCTTTAAGGGCGAGTTCCAAAGTCCATTGTTTTCCCCCATCTTTTTTAAAGTTTTTATTTTTACTTATTTATTTGAGAGAGGGAAATCACGAGTGGAGGGAGGGGCAGAGGGAGAGGGAGAAGCGGACTCCCCACTGAGTGGGGAGCCCTATGAGGAAGAGGGACTCGATCCCAGGACCCTGGGACCATGACCTGAGCTGGAGGCAGATGCTTAACCAACTAAGCTACCCAGGCGCCCCTGCCCCATCTTCTTAAGTTGGATACTTAGCTCATGAATTTTCAATTTTCTTCCTTCCTCACACAAATGCTGATGTTTCAAATTTCCCTTGAATTATAACTGTTGCTGCAACCCGTAAGTTTTACTATGAAACATGTTTGTTATGGTTCAGTTTCAGTGTTTTCTATTTGCTGTTACTATTTCTTCTCTGCTCTGAGTTTTACGTGGGTATGTTTTTAAATTTCCAAGTGTGAGGAAGAATTTCTTTGTGTTTTTGTTAATGACTTACAACGACGACGTTGTGGGCAGAGAACGCGGTCTGTATGACGCCAGTTTTTAGAAATTTGTTGGAACTTGCTCTGTGGGCTAGCTCGTGGTAAATTTTTGTAAGTGTTTTATGTGTTCCTGAAAGTACTGGGTATATTCATT